TTTATGAACTTCAGAGTCAGACGTGGCTTTGAAGCCTCCCCCTGCCATGTACCAGTGAGTTATCTACCTTTGCAAACCCTCAGTTTTTGCATCAGTAAAATGGGGATGACAACCAAATTGTTATTGAGATTAAACTTACTTTTATTCAATAATTCACGGAATACCCCTAGCATAATGTCTAACATGTTGAAATGTTCCATACCATGTTTTTAAGACTTATTCAAATTATTTGATCATTAATGGTATGTCTAGGAGACCTCAATTTGGTTCACTGGTTTTCTCTTTACAAGTTGGGGCAGGATTTATCTCTCTGAGGTTATTTAGTAAGAAAATTATTGATAGTTCTTCCATCAGAAGTGGAAGAAGACCCTGTGCACTGGTATGACTGGGTTTGAGGTTAAACCCTGAAGTGACTCAGGCACTTAAAGATGTGAGTCTCTGACTTGCTATGGTCTTCGAGTGACTAATGTCCTTTGTGTGAAGATGCAGTAGAACTGGCCAAGTATTTTACCATTTTGGTGTCTATTGGGAAACAATGTAAATATTTTGTTGAGTTCTACAAATGCGTACTACAGAAGTTGTTATAATTTAAAATATTTAAAGTTTGACGATATGAAGATAAAATTAGTATTTTTTAAATTTGCATTTCTTTAATTATTAATAACCTTTGACTCTTTTCCATAATCTCATTGAATCTTTTTATTTCTTCCTGGTAAATTGTTCTATATTCTTTGACCATTTTCTTATGCAAGGTTAATTTTTATTGATCTGGAATAGCTCTTTATATATCAAAGATAAATTTCTGTTGTTCTTTATATAGTTTTTTATATACTAAAGAAAAACTTTTGTTACATAATTTTTTCCATCTTTTGTTCACTTCTATTGTTTTAACTTAAAACAAAAGTTGTAATTTTTATATAGGTAAAGTTATTAAGTTTTTTTCCTTTTTATTTATTTTCATTGCTTTTAAGCTTAGACAGAGGCCTTCCTACATTTTCTTACATATTTTGGAGTGTGGTATATTGATTATTTTTAACTACTTAATCCATTTGGAATTCTTAGTCTGGTAACAGTTTTAAAAGTTATAAATTGGTATGGCCTTTCTAAAAAATGTTTTTGTAATATTTGTGAAAAAGCAAAAATGAGTTGGTATTCTTTGCCCCAGTTCTAAGACTCTAACTTACAAAAATAATTGGGCATGTGGTCAAAGATTTCTACATAAAGATGGTCATCCCAAAGCTGTTTATAGCAGTAAAAACCAGAAATAACTTAAAAGTCTCTCATGGGTGGTGGAGTAAGTAAATGTTCTTCAGCTTCCCCATCCAATATGGTAACCAGCAGACACATGGGCTATTTAATACAATTTTAAATTGTATTAAAATTAAATAAAATTAAAAATGCAATTCCTCACATCACATTTCAAGTGCTAACAATCACATGTGACTAGTGGCCACCATATTGGAATGGCATAGATATGGTACATTCCCATTCTCATAGAAGTTTCCATTAAAGAGCGCTGCCCTGTGGCCATTAAAATCAGGATTTAAAAAAATATTTAACAATGTTAGATGTATCCACAATATGGTGTAAGTATAAATATTAAAACACAAAATATTTGGTGGTAACAGGAGTTCTGATTGGTTGCAGTACCTTTAATCATCAATATCTTCATCAAGTTATGTTTTTCTCAGAGGAAACCCAAATCCTGCCCTTATGAAGTTCACTGTCTTAAAAAAGAAAAAGAAAAAAAAAACTCTGAAGTTTTATAGATGTATAGAAATTTAATGAGATACATGGGGAAACCTAGTAGATGGTACCCACTCGGTAGCTGTTAATTGATTAAAAATCCAAATAGGAATTATCATACTCATCCAGATGCAAAAATTAGCACTGTATTCTGTGACCAAAAGTGGTCTCAAAAGAAGCCAGGATGTTTTTTCTGTCAATATCTATTATCTGACTAACAAAGGCACAAAACCAAGTTAGTCGACAATAACACTTAAGAACTTGAGTTATATATATCAAAGAAATTTAGAGTACTTTGTAAATATGGAAAGGCTGTAAGGTTCTCAAACATCAATAGATGATCAACCACTACAAAAGAATGCTTCACTATGAGTGAATAAAATTTTTGGAAATGGTACCCATAAAGAAAACCTGCAGGTAATTTGTGCTCAACCTTCCCACTGAGAATAACTAAAAGAGCTAAACAGAATGTCTATTTTTTTTTTTAATTCTGGAAACTATCAGAGAGTTAACAAAATAGTAAGAAAAAACATCTAGGAGAAGTGAAGTGTAAAGAGGTGGGCTCAGCCTTTGGGGTCGTTTTTGACTTTTTGTTTTTATTTTTATTTTTATTTATTTATATTTTTATCCTCACCCGAGGACATTTTCCCATTTTTTGTTCAGATAGAGCGGGAGGGAGAGAGAGGAAGAGAGAGAGAGGGAAACATCGATGTGAAGGGACACATCGACTGGTTGCCACCCGCACGACCAACCAGGGCCGGGGACAAACTGCAACCGAGGTACGTGCCCTTAGCGGGAACCGAACCCGGGTCTCTCTGGACCGCAGGCCGACGCTCTAACCGCTGAGCCAAACCGGCCAGGGCTGGGGTCGCTTTTGACTAAGGGATGTTTGTCAAGGCCAAAGAGGTGTCTGAAAGTCTGAGTATTTAGTAGTTTATAAATCCAAAAGTTGAGGTCTAGAGTCCATCAATAGAGGTGCTCTGGTAAACACTTTTTTGCAAAACACCAAATAACCCAGCTTTTGTAAGAACTGCAATCTAGCTCTGAGCCATCTGGGCCACCCAGAAAAACCTCAAGCACTGAAAACAGGCTAAAATAATCCCAGATTATTATTTTCTCAGATTCCTAACAGAAACAAACCAAAACTTTCTCTAGAGGCACAGATCATAATTTTAGGCCTCAAAATATTTATACAAACAATTTTTAAAATATAATGTCTATCATGTGACCAAAGATAACCATTCACAAAATGAGAAAAGATGAAAAACAATAAAAACAGCTCCTAAGCAGCTCCAGAGTTAAGAATAATAACATACAGACTTTAAAATAACTGTCTACTGTGCTTGAGAAATGTTTTTAATTATTAAAAACTTTGAAAAATAACTGAACATTCTAAAAAGAGACAGAGCAGATCTGAAAAAGAACCAAACAAAAATTTTAGAACAAAAAGAAAAACTGTAATAACTGAAATAACTCAGTGGATTAGTTTAACAGTAGATCAAATATACCTGAACAAAGAATTTGTGAACTGAAATTTAGGTTTGGAATGAAATATGGAAAGACAAAAGTTGGAATAAATAGAAGATAGCATGGGAAACATAGAGGATATGGAGAGAAAAGTTAAGACAAAGCAATCTCAGAAAAATGGCTGGGGATTTTCCCGTGAATCCACAAATTCATGAAGTCCTAAGAACTTCAAGCATTAAAAAAAAAAAAAGAAAGAAAAGAAAAAAGAAAAGAAGAAATTCACACCTAGAACCATCATATTAAAACAACAGAAAACTAGAGACAAAAAGGAAAATCTTAAAAGCAGTTGACGATAAAAGTTACCTTTAAAGGAATAAGTTAAAAATATAACTGACTTTTCAATAGCAACCATGGAAGCCAAAAGAAAGTGGAATGTATCTTTGATGGACTGAAAGAAAATCACTGCCAACCTAGAATTTCATATCAGTGAAAAGATCCTTAAATAATGAGAGAGAAATCAATAATTTCCAGACAAACACACACTGACAGTATTCTTTACCAATAGACCCACATTTAAAAAGATACCAATAAGTGTTCTTCAGTCAAAGAAAAGTAACCCCAGACGGAAGGTCAGAGATGCAAAAGGAAAGAAAAGCAATAAAATTAGAGGCGTCAGCAGCCTGAATTCTGTACAAGAAGGTGATGTTGAAGAACTACAGAAGTTGACTTCAGGGTGAAGTTATCTTCCCCTTATATTAGTTAGAAATTATATTTGGTTATCCTCTGAAAGAAAATAGTTAAATCCAATCCTTATATCACATTTTGGAATATATTTTTTACTATTTTGGGATAAAGAAAAATCAAATGCCCTGAAGAGAAGATCAATATATTATACTACATGATTTAAAAAATATAAATAGCCAAAGAAACCATTTATAAGTACTAATAGAGAAAACACATACACTAATTTATCAGCTAGAATCAGTTTCAACTGCCTGCAGAGTGTGACCTAGGAGTGGAAATAGTGGGATAGATGGTTCTTACACGGTTCAAGATACTATTTTACTCATTACATTTATTATTGATAATAGATGTTGTTATAAAAGAAAAGCTCAGATCTAACTGTTTGATCAACATAGAGATATTAGTTGGTCCAGCATCCAGTAGTTTTTTTGTTTTGTTATATGAGTTGAAAACATATTATAAATGCAAATTTCTCACATTTAGGATACTAGAGTAAGATAAGAAATAGCTTTTTCTAGTGTTTTACTAAAAAAAAAAGTAAATAGTTGTATTTCCAAAATAATTAAAATTTTCAGTATAGACTACATATCCCCTTGATGTCTCTCCCATCCATAAAATTTTAAGATTAATCCTAAATACTGTACGAATATCAGTCTTGAATTATTGAGATACAAGACCTTTGTTCTAAGAATAGGTCAGGGGGCTGCCAATGAATCTATTCCATTGTTCTCAAAGGACTTCATTACCGAACAGAATTATTTTATCAACAATGGTGCTGTTGGGTAGCTCTCTCAGTACAGTCCTATCTCACATTATCCACTCTGCCAGTCCCCTTTATTTCAAGATGTTTCTGTAGCATGTCGCTCTGCCCTCTGAAAACCACCATGTTGAAATGATAGTTTGTGTCAATGGTTTAACTGAATCAGATCAGGAGTGTCCCCTATAGGCAGCAACAGCTAGGTGTTAAAGCAGACATTTGGCCTCAGTTGAACTGTATCCACATCAAAAGTGAGAGAGGAAGAAATGGGCACCTGAACACTCACCTGCCGGAGTTTAGTCCCCACCATGGAGGCACTGCTGTCAAGCACAAACACCACATTCTTGGGTAAAGGAGGAAGGTCTTTGGGGGCAAAGTAGTGTACAAAATAGTCATTTAGAACCTGTGGAGGGAAAAGAAAGTAAAAATGGTAGTACCCAGAATAGGTAGAAAAACTAAAATGGACAGTTTATGGAGCTTGTAAAAATCAAAGACAGCATGAAACAGGGTCTCAGGTCAGATTTTGTACCCAGAGCAAAAGTATTCACGGTCCTGATTCTTCCAAGAGAATGAATTGCTAATTTAATTTGTATACGGATTAAATCATTAAAATGTTATTGACTAATTCAATTTAAATTATCCATCCCCTCTGCCCTTTGCCACTTGAGAATCCTGCTTCCTTAATTATCTGATTTTTACCAAGCACCTTACAAATTGATATGTCGAGGAAATTCTCTGCATTCTGGGTGTACATTAATACATTTTAATATCCCCACCCTGTCTCTGGAGCAATACAACCTAAGGAGAAACGAGCCAGGGACCAGTCTCTTTTCATTAAAATTGAGGAAGAACTAAAATTCTAATGTCATCTAACACACCACAGAGAAAATTGTAGATTTCATTTGCTCTCCAGATTACTAAAGCAGGAAATACATACCCTGAGCCTCCAGCGAGGGAATACCACTGGTCTTCCTGGAGACACATTTTGGGTTAAAACATATTTCCTAAGAATCAGAAAGTTCTCCTTCCCTCAGGTAAGTATTGGAATCCCGTTTTGAATCTAACTGAAAGTATAAAGCAACTAACATGAAATAGTAACAATAAACCCCTTACCTGGATATCCCCAATGCTCTGTTCCCTATTGACATCATATCTAATGATGAAATCTCCCAAAATGCCATTCTGGGCAATCCTGGCTTGTTGCACCACGCTAGGCTTAAAAATGACTTTGGCAAAAGTTTCATTTTGGTTGATAACAGTAGAAGGAGGTGGCCCAGTATCATCTGTATACAAGACATAAACATAATTAATAATGTAATAGATATTTTCGGGGGTGGGGGCAGTTTTGCAGTGACATAGAGGGTTACACTTCATTTTATCGTGGGTTTACTTCTGAATGAACTTCCTAGACTTCCTAGCAGCGACGTAACACAGTGCATAAGCTATGCTATCATATTGTTCACCTTTATGTCTCTTTTTTAATCTTATGAGATTTTTTTAAACATACAAAAGTAGACAGTAGTAAAATGAACCCCCATGTACCCATCACCCAATTTTAATAATTATCCACTTTTTACCAATTTTTATATCTGTTTTTATGTATCACCTCACCATTTTTTGCTAGAGTATTTTAAAAACAAATCCCAGACATCGCTATTTCATCCATAAGTACTTCAGTATGAATCTCTAATGATAAGAACCCTTCTTAGCATAACCACAAAACCATTATCACAAGTAACAAAATTAATAGTCAATGTCTATTTATGGTTGAATACTCAGTCTGTATTTAAATGGTTGGTTTGTTGAAATCAGGATCCAAACCAAGTCCCCACATCACATTTGGTTTGTTTCTTAAGTCTCTTTTAATCCATGTCACCCATCTCCACCTTTTTTCTACTACTACATATATATGTTGTACAACACTGGTCATTTGTCTTACAAACTTCCTCACATTCTGTATTTCATGATTTTTTTCTCATCCTGTATTTTCACTTACTCCTCTATTCCCCTGGTTTCCAACCTCGGCTTGTACCGTAACATCTGGGGGAGCTAGAAACAATGCTGATGCCCAAGCCAAGAGCTCATTTACCTGGTCTGGGACACAGCCTGGGCATCAGGATTTTAAAATTCCCCAGGTGAGCTCAATCCCCTGTATTTCTTTATTTTCTGGTCGGTAGAGCTGAAGGTTTAGTTAGACTCAGTTTCAATTCGATTTCCAAGAAAACTTCATAGGTGATGCTGAGTACTTACTACTGTATCACAGCAGAAGGTACGTAATATCTATTTGTCTACATTTAGTGGTGGTAAGATTGATGGCGGGTTCCATTATTGTCAAGTTGATCACCCCTAATGAAATCCCTCATCAGTCTTTCACTTAAGAGTTTTATTAATTGCTGATAATGTTTGTCTAGATCCACTATTTTATTAAAGTTGTACAAGGGTGGTTTCTGATTCTATCATTACTTCCATACGGAATTCTTTGATAAAGAACACCTTTCCTCATCAGTCATTTGGTTGCCCTACCACACTGTTTGTCCAGAAAGTTTATGGCTCTTAAAAACAAAACAAAACAAAAAAACCTTTCCCAAAGCTTTCCCCAGCACAAATATCAGAATATAAATTAGAATTCCAGAAAAATAAACAGATAAATGTATTTTATGTGATTTAAGAAAAGTTAGTGAGATGACATTAAGCAAAGCCATCCCATTTTCCACTCCTGACCTTTACTTCCTGTTAGAACACAAAGAATCATTTCAAAGACTACCCATCACAAATCCAAACACCACCATGTTTATGTACTTAGCAACAGAAATCCAAAATTTTGAGACCTGCTTACATAATAAATATAAAAATAATCTTCTCTCTTATTTTTTTTTGGGGGGGGCAACCAAAATTTTGGTGGCCTTAAAAAAAAGAATATAAAAATAAAATAGAGAATTCATAAACATCAGTGTACATGGAGGCTTTTTATCCAGATACTGAATCAAAACTAAGCTTAAGACTGCTGCAAAGCATCTGATTATCTTTATAAATCTATTCAAATTGGTGCCATAGAGTAAGCTGACCAGCAATTTTCTATCCCTAATTAGCAAAATAAAAAAGGAAACGAGGCACAATTTGTCCATGGTAACTTGTATTTAAGAATAAACTTCCTGCCCTGGCCAGTTTGGCTCAGCGGTTAGAGCGTCGACCTGCAGTCCCGAGAGACCCGAGTTCGGTTTCCGCTAAGGGCGCATACCTCGGTTGCAGTTTGTCCCCGGCCCTGGTTGGTCGTGTGGGTGGCAGCCACTCGATGTGTCCCTTTCTCATCGATGTTTCTCTCTCTCTCTCTGTTCCTGTCTCTCCCTCCCACTCTACCCAGAACAAAAAAGGAAAAATGTCCTCGGGTGAGGATAAAAAAAAAGAAAAGAATAAACTTCCTTCTGCTAAAGTCTTATTAGACATTAAAATCAAAGGAAGTTAAAGATTTCCTTCAACAGAACAAGCAATTATTTTTCAGAAATAATTTAGGTATAACCTTAACAGGAACCACAGAGCAAAACTGAGTCTTCTATTATTTGTACTTATCAAGGGCAGAAATTTTGGGAGTGAACAGAGAGCTAGCAAATAGGCAAGTTCATTCTTGTAGAAAGACAGTTGTATGAAAGATCACACGCTTCCCACAGATTTGCTCATCTGAAGAAGGGGCTGGGAAAATCTCAAAGGCATATCAACAAATGCCAGCCTCCAATTCACCAGCCTGATTGACATTGCCTTAGAACTAGTAGACAGGAAGAAGAAAACGGGGCTGAAAAAATGGAATGGTCCTTAAAATAGAAGGAAACTGTCATGTTCTCCAGAGTCAATCTTTCATTTCCTTGGTGATTACTGGCAAAGCACCAAGAGTGAGAGGCATGACAATACGCTAGCTAAGAAGTCAGGATCATGAATGAATGAGAAGGACCTGTGGTCAGTACTGGCTCTTCCTCTCATTATCTATGGTACTTTGGACAAGTTACTGAGCCTGGGTTATCTCATGTACAAAATAGATTGTCTACCAAACTCACACTATTGAAAAGATGAAGTGATGTAATGTACTTAGCCCCATTCTGACTCGTGGTAGGCAGTCATGCTGGCTAATATTGTTATGAGCCTAAAATATATAAAAAATAGAAGTGTTGCGGAGTTGAATGTAAGACAATGCAACATGTTCAACTCGGGATACTACAGGCAACAAAAAGGAAAGAACTGCTGCTTTTTACCACATGGTTGACTCTTAGTCATTTTGAGTAAAACATAACATAAAAAAGAGTGCATATTCTCCATGCTTCCATTTACATAATGCTTAGAGCAGACAGTGTATTCATGGCAAATGGACTAGGACAGTGGTTACCTGTGAGGGAAAGGACCGACTGGGAAAACGTATAGGGGAGCATTTGGGGTGGTGGAAATACTCTATGCCTTGACCTTGAAGTGGTTATACAGGTATACACATACGCGAAAATTCATCAACTGTACACATAAGATGTAAATACTTTAGTGTATGTATACCCCAATTTTTAAAAAATTTAGTCACTGGGAGTGGAACAGCAGAACGGATTAGGTGTACTCAGAGGATTCCAGCCGGCAGAACTCTCACGAGGGGTAGAGTCACCGGAAGCACTGTTCATGCAGCATCAGTAAAAGCTCTAAGAAAACGTCCTGTTGGCAGAGGCCACTCTCACAGCTCATCTCATTAGAAGTGTTGGAGCCAACGCTGGGCGACCCAGTCACCTGCAGGGATGGCACCAAGCAGTTCTGATGACACGGTCTTGGGCCAGCAGCATGAATGGCACCCGGGAACTTGCTAGAAACACAAATTCTTGGGCCTACCGAGAAACTCTGAATCAGAAACTCTGGAGGCGGAGCCCAGAAAGCTGTATTTTTGCACATTTTTCAGGTAGCAATTCTGGTTCCTGGGCAGAGATGGCGGTCGCGCGTGTTTGCTGTATGTAATTGAGTGGCACTAACATCATGCATTCCTGTAATTAGATTTGACTCTTTACGCTGTCAGCATGTACCTACTTTTTCATGTTTAAATCTCTGTCATTGAAATGCACTTTACAATTAATAGCATTCGTGGTGGAATAAAAGCATTGAGTATTAAAAAGTATAATTTCTCTCTTCATAATTCATTTGACTAGGCTCTTTGATATAAGCCATGAGAACGGATTGTGTATTATTATTTCGGTTTCCTACTGACCTCTGATGTTTGCTAGTTCATGATGAAAATTCATGAGATTCCTCTAAATGGGCTTATTTTATATGACCAAATTGTGAGTTGATTCCCAATTTGGTCCCTCACCGAGACCTAGCTCCTGAGGCTGACTTCCATTAAGTACCAGTCAATGTGACTCAGTGAATTTTCCACTCCCTATTAAAAAAAAAAGTTGCCCGGGAAATATTCCAGAATAATCTCTCTAGAAAACAAAATCCTCTCTTTATGAGAGGAGGAAATAAATCTTCTCATCGATGAGGTCAGTATAGGCTTCCCCACCGTTACTGACCAAAATCCAAAGCAGAGTAAGACTATTCAGCATTTCCTTACTGTGAACGAGGACTTGTGCTGCTGACCCCACAAAACAGTTCATAAGCACAATGAGCTTGACAGGCAGGGCCCTCAGCAGCCACAGGACATGTTCTGAAGACAAAGAACAGTGCAAGGGAAGAGGCTGGGAACAGCCCCGAACAGTGAGGATCTGACCTACTTCTCTAATGAGCGCCCAGCATAGCCTTTCCTCCTGTTTGTTTTCTCCCCTCCGCATCCACGTGGTCGGGGCAGGAGGGTGGCAAGTGGTCTGAAGTGAAGGAAGGGACTCTTCTAATGTCACCTTCCTGTTCTAATGCGGGCGCTGGTGGTCTCCTGCGAGACAACCTTCAGTGGCATACAACTGCCTCCAGTGTGTCCTTGGTGAGATGCATTAATGGCTTTTTCTGCACCCACTCAGGTCACCAGCATCCCCATGCTCCTCTCTTCCTGTCTAAAACTGGTATTTTTTTTTTAAATAAGAAACAGGTGTTATTTTATTTTGTTTGTTTGTTTTTAATCCTCACCTGGGGATATTTTTCTATTCATCTTCAGATAGAGTGGGAGGGAGAGAGAAGGGGCAAGAGGGAGAGCTGCGAGAGGGACACATCAACAGGTTGCCTCCCGTATGACCCCAACCAGGGCCGGGGACAAACCACAACCAAGGTACGTGCCCTTGACTGGAATCGAACCCATGACTCTTTGGTCTGCAGGCCGATACTCCAACCTCTGAGCCAA